GGGAGAGCAAGGTGGCACTGGCTTTCGAGAAAGATGTTAATTTAGTCGATTTTTCCTTTTTCAAGGAGCTGTACCTCACGCCCCCCTCGCCCTTTTTCAAGTGAGCTGTACCTCACCCCTCCCCTCGCTCGACGGATATTAGGGAAGAATGAAAAAATGAAAAAGTGATAGGAAGAAGGGGAAATCAAGAAAGGTGGTAAATAGGATGGCGGGGTCATACCAGAGAGGTAGATCCTGAGGGAGGGGGTCGTATTTTGAGAAAAATTTCCCAATTACAGTACGTGCCCTGACTGTGTCACGCATTCTCCACAGACGTGGACTCGATAGACTCGATACGCATACTCTCCATGGTACGAGTTCTCCTAAATCGCGGATCCTGCACTTTCGCAAAGTATAAACGAGACCTGACGAAGGATACAGATTGAAGGCTTGAACGTAAGAAGGCGATTAACAGAGTTAACCAGGCTGACGAGTAAACCTTGGCGCACTCACCGAGATCTTGTGTGCATCATAGAGACCATATCTGCAGTTAATCCAGCTCTGAGCTTGTTGTTATTCGCACCTTGGGGCATCAGCGATTCAACTTTCTGAAGAAGTTGATGATCAGTAAGCATTGGAGCCTTTGAGAATTAGGCGCTGTTCGCTTGGTGGGGGCATTTTGTTGGTTTCCATCGACTACTACTGCTGACTCCTGTCTAGACCTGTTAACTACTGTAAGGCAGTAGCATGGGCTTCGTATAAACTTTACAAGAGCCACAGGTCCCCCCAAGGCAGGACATTTCATTTGAAAGCATCCAATGAAACTCGCAAAAGTGCAAAATGCCCCCTCTAAGCCAAACAGCGCCAAAAACTATCCCTTACCTCATCACGGTTTGAATCCTTGCGCGACGACGACGGCAATGGAATCTTGGATTTTCCCTGTAAACAAGCAGACAATAAAGCTTCTGAACACGTGTTCTTGATAACGTCCACTTACAATTGAGCAACCACTTCTGTCCTTCTCTTCTTTTGGTACTGTAAAGCCATCGATGACAACGTCGACAATTTCACCATACACTTCAAAGCCCGAGACGCTCAGGTAGCACGTCTGTCCAGAAGAATTTTTCCCGTTTTGTGCAATACGCAGGTAGCGGAAGGGACCTAAACATTACAGCAGGGTTGAGTATGATTCAAGAACGTTCACGGCGCAGTTCGCCGACAGGATGGCGGGTAGGGGCATTTTTCCTTTCTCTGCTTCCCATTGCCGTGTTAATTGTGTTACAAGGATGGCAGGCATTTTTTACAAGAGTTGACAAGTTGACGACCGGTACCACTTCGTGGCTTCACAAGATCTGACAAGTCTACTTGGCCCGACACGACAAGGGGAAGCAGCGGAACTGCAGAATGCCCTCACGTTGTCGCGAATGCGCCCAGCTTTCATTAGACCACTTTTCCCACCTTTAGTCCTATCGTCCTCGATGGGCCAAGTGGCGGTGGATCCAGGGTCACCGAGGCTTATATCATCGGAGTGAGCAACGAGTACCTCCCACACTTGCTTGTCTTTTGAACCCTTCAAATCGAACATCTTATTTTATGGACATCCACGTCACACAACAATAAAAATACCTGCAAGAGCCAGTTCCGAAGAGCCGATCGCCCATAACCTCTTGCATGGCGCAGCGTGTATGCGGTGGGATAGAGGAAAACACCAAGGTCAATCGTAAAGTTCGCATTCCTGAACAAGAAACGACGACTGTCTGAGAAAGAACTGGTGAAACAACGGGACGATTCTAGATGCATGCAGTGGTTTAAAGATGCAAAAACTTCAAGGAAGGCGGGTTTATGACCCCAAGGAGGTCGGGTTTATACAATTCAACCCGAAAGTTGCTGAATGGACCATAGCAAAGGATGGAGTAAGTCTTAAGACTACAAAGAGTAAAACTAAAGAAAAGAGGGAGTTGAAGGGCGGGAAAAGAGAGAAGAGCCTTCAAAATCCTCCCAAAGAGGTATCATGGCGCTATTCCTATGAGCTCACAAGTTCTGGTTCTACGTCATATTTACAAATTTTTCATGTTGGGCCGCGTTCATGCTTTATGACTGAGAAGATTTGGCGATTGAGAGACTGCGCGACGAGGGAAGTATGAGTATCGATCTGACGAGACTGCGGAGATTGAGCGAGTCGGCACCTTGGGAGAGTTCGCGTTTCCGGCGATTTCGCGAAAACCAGTGGATGGGTATCGATCGGCTCCGGTCGCTAGTGACTGCGCAAAGTTGGTGATCCGGCGTTTTGGGAAATCGCCGGGTTACTCAAGTCACCAGATCGCTCAGTTTCGAAAATCGCCGAATCGCTCTTTCTCCCGAATCGCCGAATCTCCGCAATCGCCAGCGACTGATGCCGATCGATACCCACTTTTGACATGCAATCGCCGGAAACGCTGGATCCCCCTAATCGTCAGATACGAGCCAATCTCCTCGGTCGCGAAGTATGAGCACGGCCTTGCACGCCAAGGGATAAGAATGGTAGAAAGAGCTTCGAGCAGGGATCCGTATCAACGCGCGGAGCCCAACGACGGATAAACACCCATCTCTTTTTAGAAAAATTCTCGTGAAAAGGGGCTCCCTTTGGGTAGGCGCATAGTACCACCCAGACGAGAAACCTCCACCCACTACCTTGCTCGGCAAGACATCCTGTTGACCCTATTTTTTTATTTTTTCCCTTCGCAGTCCTTCTGTAGGTTTTTGAAATGCCCGAATGGGGTCTGCCATCAAAAAATGCCTAAAACAAGCCAGAATCTATCACAATGGATAAACCTAGTTTATAGAGCGCCTGAAAAACTACTTGTCATCACTAGCGAGTGACGGAAGTTGATCGCGATTCAGCAAAGAAGCTGTAACACGTCACGACTTATTGACATCTTCTGGTTTTCCAAATGGTTGTCGTTGATCTGATGATGTCACCTACAAAATGAAAAATGATGAAGGCAGTTCACACGAAGAGTTTCCAACAAAATCTAACAAGTAGGCAGTTCGGCGACGGGGGAGGGGGGGGGGGGGGCATTTTGCACTTTTGCTACTTCCCATCGACGTGTCGAGCCATCTAGAGAGCTATTTCATGAGCTTACAAGAGTTGACAGGTTTTACCGCGGTGGCTAGATGAGCTTGCTCCAGCTTCACAGGAGTTCACAGGTTTCACCAGGTTGTGAGACTTGTAAACCAGACTAGTGAAGCGGCGAATGTTCAAAAATCTCCCCTCCCCCCCCCCTCCATGTCGCTTGACTGCACCCAAACCACTAATTACTAGAAATAGAAACATAACCAAAAACGCGTTGCAGAATATGTGGCTTATTTCATCATAATTTTAGAGGCAAACGGTAGGAAAACAGAGAAATAGTGCAGAATTCTCACCTGAACAATCCCTATTGAAGCTGGATTGGTCCAGTCAGCTGCTGTTCTGCCATTTGTTCCCAACCAATAAATCACACCTGAGATGATTTTGACGTCAGATAAATCAATTTTGACAGAAAAAAACAAAAGTCACCTTGCTCATCGAAATCGCTGGTATACGTTAATCTTATACGCTCTCCGGACTTCTTTGATTCTTCAATGGCTTTTACGAAACCAAGACTAGCACGATCACGATCAAACCTGAATTTAAGGGTTTTGAGTGGAAAAACGAAATTGGCCACAAGAACACAGGAACCCAAATGAACTACCATTGCTTTGCCACCATCTTCAAGAGAAACGACTTGAGCTGACCAATTGTTGTCAGTGGCTCACTTTTGAGAAGGCGGCCGCTTCTAAATGAGCAAACTCTCACTGAATGATTAGAACAATCTGGCACTA